AAATCTGTCGTACTTCTCTCTAAAAATACAAGATCCGGTTCCCCCCTCGAGTTCAGAGCTCATAAGTCGAGTTCGCCCTGCGTCTAAAGCCTCTAACTGCGTCACTTCGTCCCTCGCTGCGTAACCTCGAAACCTCGTCCACTGCGTTTACTCGTCGATACCGTCTCGACGAACCCTTCGACTTCGACTATTGTCGAAGAAACTGCGAACCGCGTCCTAGCTAAGTCCCCCCCTATCGAGTCATGTCCCTTCCTTCTACGATACATCGAAGAGCTCTGCCGAGCTTCGATCGTCTCCGCTAACCACCCACAGCCTCCGAGTAGCTTCGACGACGTGTCGAAGCCACCTCGTAGCTTCCCCATTGTTCGTAGCCTTTTCCGAAGGTGTTTCTCGTGTTCACTCGAACCGCGGGACACCTTGCTGCTAACTCCCCTCTCACTAAGACTATAATCCGTCTCTCTAGTCCCTTTAGGTCGCACCCAGGTTAGGGGTTAGGGTTTCGTAGGTCGTATCACCGGCGTCGCATCCTCTTGTTCTCTCGGTGTCCGATGATGGCTTCGACTTCGTAGTTATCTTCGCCCTCGATAAGGTCAGGAGGTGGCCTTGTGTAGTTCGGACCATGGATCTCCGTCTCAGAGTAGGGAGATAGAAGCCATTTGTGGAAAACGGGGTGGACTCGCCAGGTGCTAGGGAGGTCTAGCTTGTACGCGACCGTTCCAATCTTGTCTAGGACTTTGAACGGCCCTTCTCGCCTCGGGGCTAGTTTCCTGGATGGGTACGGCAGCTTCAAGTTCCGGGAGTCTAGCCATACCAGCTGACCTTTACGGAAGAAACCCCCCTTCCTTTTTACTCTCTTGGCCAGGACGTTCTGGGCCATCTCCATTGCCGCATGTGCTTCCTCACGGATGTTTTGCAAGTCCTTGAGGCGATAAGCCGCTTGCAGCGTGTTTGATCCAGGGTGCGTGGTGGGTATTCTGCGAGGTTTGTATCCCATCATGAGTTTGAATGGGGATGTCTTCGTCATAGAATGCTCGCGGGAGTTGTGAGCAAATTGCGCAGTGTGAAGATGGTCAGCCCACTTATCCGGGTCATTGGCAGTGAAGCAGCGGAGGTAGATCTCCAGCTCTTGGTTCACTCATTCTGTCACGCCGTTGGTTTGCGGATGGAATGCCGTACTCATGGCTGATTGAACCCCAGTCATTTTGCAAAGTTCTTGGAAGACTTTGGACGCAAATTGCGGTCCTCGGTCGCTGATGATCTTGTCTGGGAGTCCAAACCACTTGTAGACCTCTCGGTACATTGCGTCTGCCATCCCAAGAGCATCAATTGTTTTGTTACATGGGATGAAAATTACCCCCTTCGTAAGGTCGTGGTCCACTACGACCAGAATTGAATCGAAGCCGTTGGACGGTGGCAAGTCGGTAATGTAATCGCACGAGGATGTGCTGAAGGGCTTGGCATTTGCGCGGGGTCGAATGGGGGTGATGGGCGGTCGGGCTGGATGCGTGTTAACCTTCATTTGCTGGCAGATGCCACAGCTGTTAACATAGCGGGCAACAAACTGGGCCATGCTCAGCCACCAGTAGTCACGGCGCAAGCCGAGGAGGGTTTTCTGAACACCAGGGTGTCCTGCGGAGGGGAGGTCGTGATAGTGGGAGACAAGATGTTTGTGAAGAGACTCATCTGGGGGTACATAGACCCGATCCTGGTATAGGAGGAGGTCATCATCGATGGACCAGTCAGTTCCAGTGCGTGGTGTTCCTCCAGTGCGCGCCGCAGTGAGGCCTTCCTTCATTATTGGGTCGTCCTTAAAGGAAAGGATGGTGTCGCAGGTGTCGATGTCGATGGCAGCAACCCATACTTCCGGTGGGAGCATAACAACATCGGTGTTGTCATTAGAGCCATCGTCATGGTCAGGTCGGCGGGAGAGAGCGTCGCTCTGCACCATTTGGGTACCAGGAACGTGTACCAGGCGGAAGTCAAACTCGGTCAGTTTACTCGCCCAGCGTGCTTGTCGTCGGTTCATGTCTTTGGCTTGTTTCCAATATGTGAGGTTCTTGTGGTCGCTGAGAATCGTCACTGGGTATGGGCTGCCAATAAGGTAGTGCGCGGATGACCACATATAACTCCCTGTCGTAGATGTTGTAGTTTCTTTCTGCTGCATTGAAGCTTTGAGAGAGGTATCCGCAAGGATGCCAGTCACCGTTGTCGTCGCGTTGGCGTAGTACTGCTCCGGTTGCAATCTTGGAGGCGTCGGTTTCGATAGTGAAGGGTCGGTTGGGATCCGGCATGCATAGTACTGGTTCTTCTAGGAATGCCTTTTTGAGGGTCTCGAAGGCTTTCTGTTGGTCAGATCCCCAGATCCAGGCGACGTCCTTCCGGGTGAGAGCAACCAGCGGTTGCGCTTTGTCCGAGAAGCCTTTGATAAACCGGCGGTAAAAGTTTCCAAATCCAACGAAGGCGCGTACTTGCCTGAGGTTGGACGGCACCGGCCAGTCTGCAATGCCAGCTAGTTTGACAGGGTCCATTGCGATTTCTCCTGGGCGGATGATCATGCCGAGGAATTCGACTTCGGTGACATCGAAGGCGCATTTCTCCGGTTTGAGGTAGAGGTCGTGTTGTCGAAGTCGTTCGATAACACGTCGTGTTCGTTCCTCGTGTTCTGCCTTGTCCTGGGAAAAGATCAGGATGTCGTCCATGTAGATGCGGAGCCAGCCTTCTTGAAGCATGTCTGCGAATATTGTGTTCATCATCCGTTGGAACGTAGCGGGGGAATTACACAGCCCAAAGAACATCACCATTGGTTCGTACAACTGCGGTGGTTTGCCATCAGTTCCTGGTATGATGAACACTGCCTTCCATTTGTCCCCTTTCTTGATTCGGACATTGTTGTATCCGGCACGGAGGTCCATCTTCGTGAACACCTTGGCGTGCTTCAACTTGTCGAGGAGATCCAATATAAGCAGGAGCGGGTATCGATCCTTGACCGTGTTCTTGTTGAGCAGCCGGTAGTCTTGACAGGGACGTAGTGAACCATCCTTTTTACCAACAAAGAAGAATGGACTCGCCAACGGGGATTTCGAAGGGCGAATGTACCCTTTACTCAGGTTCTCCTCGAGGAACTTGTTGAGTTCCTTTCGCTGTTGTGGGTTGAGCGGATAAACCTGTTGCTTCATGTCCGCGAAGCCCTCCTTGAGGTTGATTTCGTGGTCGTATTCAGTGTGGTTCGGAAGTCGCGCAGCAGTGCCCTTGTCGAAGATGGGGAGGAGATCGTGTAGGTAGGACGGTATCATCTGTGGTAGTGTTTTTTCTGTCTTGCCTTGGGTGTTCGAGGCCGCAAGTTCAGTGGATGTTGTGACTCACCTAATGTTGTGGTGGATCTTCCAGATCATGCCGTTGTGGAGTCATTTGTAGCCGAATGGGAGTTCAGGGAGTCACTCCTTGAGCGGAACATCCCTTACTGCCTGGGATTCCTGTTTCTCGTACTTGGTGATCATCGGTGTTCCTGATAAGTAGGAAATGATGAACTCATCGTCATCGATGTCCTCTGCTTGTTCTTCAATGGACGCAATACCTGTTGACCCAAACCCATCCTCCCCGTGTTCCGTTTCGTTGATGCGGTCGGTTAGTGTTACTGGTGGGGTGCTTATCTTTTCAAGGATGAGCTGAGCAACTCGGTCGCCAGCTTTGATGGTGAACGGGAGCTCGGAGTTGTTGACCAGCAGGACTGAGACCTTGCCTCGGTAATCAGAGTCGATTACTCCTGCAGTGACATCAATTTCCTTTAGTGCTAGACCGGACCGAGGTGCAATTTTTCCGTAGTGTCCTTCGGGGATAGCCATGATAAGATCGATGCTGACCAGGCCTCGTCATCGGGCAGGGATGGTAAGTTGATGCGCAGCAGAGATGTCATATCCTGCTGCGCCGCTAGTCTTTCATTCGGGAAGGGTTGTGTGCTCCGAGGTGGAGATGACAATGAATTCGTCCTCCGTTGGTTCTGGGAGTGGGGTAGTTACGGCCTTCTTCAGTTCTAGCCGAGCCACTCGCCTTTGGTACAGGTCCATCTTCCAGGCCCTGGTCTCATCTTTCGTCCACCAGTGGTTTAGCTCAACTTGTCCGGTCTTCCAGTCTATCTTGGGGTTTTCAAGCTTGAGCCAGGTGTGGCCGAAGATGATGTCTTCTTTGCCGATGCTGGCGACATAGGCTTTGACAAATCGGGGTTCTCCGCTTATCTTGTAAGATAAGAGGGCTCTTCACATGATAAGTGCTTCTTTGTTCAGAGTTCCATCCACGTTGAAGACAGGGATGGGTCGGGGAAGAGGTTCTGTCCGAAGTCGATGCTCTTGGACGAATCTCGGGCTGATGAAGATTCCGGTTGCGCCGCTATCGATGAAAGCGCGCGCCTCGATGTCTTTTTGTCCCACAGTAATCGGAATGTGCAGAGCGCGTTCATTTCGGACTACTAGAATTACACGGGACAGTGAAACAGATACGGGCAGTGGTTGCGTCGGCCCACCCTGCCCCTTCAAAAATCCTCCATTGTGAGTTCTTTGTACAGCTCCCGCTTCTCGTCGGCGGAGAGTGCCTTGATTCTGGCGTGGAAGTCATCCTTCCCAGATCCTCCCTGGTTCGGTCTCCCACCCCCTTGTCGTGCAGCCGCTTTCTTGTGGCAGTCCTTGGCGCTGTGGCCCTTGATGTGGCAGTAGAAGCACAGGTTCCCGTCCCTGTGGAGCTTCCGATCTGCCTCGTTGAGAACAGCCCCTAGTTCCCATTTCCTTCCTCCTGATGTGGAGGCGAAAGTTGATGCAACAGCAGCGGCATCAATATCCATTGGTTTGCCATAGTCCCTGGTGTCTGTGACGATGAGAGCCCCCTGCTTGGCTGCGTCGGCATTTCGGACTTCGTTGTACCAGGCCTTCATGGTGTTGGGTCGATCCCTAGCGACCCTTGTTGTGAGCGCAAAATACAGCTCCTTTGGGAGTCCTTTGACGAAGTTGGCATGGAGAGTGTGGTAGTTGTTCTCGACACAGTTGGTGCCATTGACCTCGGCGTCCTTGAGCTGAGCCTTTGATGCTAGCTGTTTGAAGCAGGTGACGTAGTTACCGAGGGAGAGCGCCGTCTTCCTATTCTTCTGTCGTTCAGGCAGTTTCATCAGGATTTAATGTGCCTTGATTCGTGTTCCGTGCTCAGGGAACGCCTCTTCCAGAGCGGCAACGAAGTCTGCCCATGTGGAATAGACCTGGACTCCTCCTGCCGACTTTTCGTAATACGCGTCCACCCATGTTTTCCCCAGATCCTTCCTCATCAGCGCTACAGTGAAGGCAATCTTTGCTTCATCGCTGAGTCGGGTGTTGTTGGTGGCGACGAAGTAGGAGAGGATGCATTGGATGAAGCGTCTGAGGTCCTCTGCCTTTCCGCTGAAGGGTTCGGGAGCGGGGATGTCGATGAAACATTTGTCTTTCTGTTCTATTCCTTGTACTACTAGCACCCATCCTGGCGCCTGTCTTAGCGCTCACCCGCAGGTTGAACATTATGTAGCTTACATAATGGGGTCCGTGCGCACTTCGTACTCGGCATCGTACCACTACGTTTCTTTCTTCACTAACACGACCACATAGACACAATGGTCCGTGCGCAGTCGGTACTTGTATAAATAGTTGTACCATTAGTCGGTCAAACCCTAAGTTCGACCTGGTTATTCATTCAAGTCTCTGCTCCTCTTTGCTTGGGGTAGTGGTCATTCTCGACTCCCTCGCTCGATCTTCAGGATGACGTACTGTCCATAAGCCCTTGCTCGTCGTCTACAAGTCAGGCATCAATACAGGAGTATAGACTGTTGTATCAGCTCCCTGGCACTAGGGGCAATCCAAGATGTCTGCTCTCCAAATATCATTTGAATATCCAACGAAGTGTAGGAAATAAAAGTCAAATACTTGACTTCTGAATATCAAAAGAAAGCCATAAATAAACACTGTATATTCAGAGCCCCAGATATGGCAGCGAATATATTACACAATTATCACTCGATTATGGACTATAATATCTGTTGAATGTTCTGCACCCAAACATTGTACCGATAAATACAATAACTAAGGAATATTTGCGGACCAAATACATTGTAAGTTATTACTAATACTCAGAGCATGGATATCCTTCAAATATTGGCTGAAAAAGATCAGTCACTCGGTATATGCCATTTCTGGTTGGCAGATTGGCACAGAATTTGGTTTCTACGTCTTAAACCATCCAAGCTTCAATTGTTGATTACATATCTGAGGAAAATATGTGCTGTAAGTACTGACAATTTTCCGCAATGTAATCAGTCCCCAAATATTCCCTGGTTATCAGATTTATTGGTATGATGTTTGGGTGCAGAATATTCAACAAATATCGTAGGTTATATTCGAGCAATGATTATGTAGCTTATTTGCTGCCATATCTGGAGCTCGGAATATGCAGCATTTATTTATGGCTTTCTTTCAATGTTCAGAAGCCAAGTATTCAATTTGTATTTCCTATACCTCGTTGAATTTCTGCACAATATCCGGGGAGTGGAAATCTTGGATTGCCCCCAGTGTGGACAGTGTCGTGATGCATACCCTGCCTGCTGTTGGGGGATGCCGTTGCCTGCCGAAATAGGCAGGCTTACATAAGCTGGCATTGGTGAATGCAACAACTATGACAGTGTTACACCTTGCATATCCTTCTCAAATGCGGAGTCCCTTGTTTGATTATGTGTTATACTTAAAGTATGGCCCCAAAATTGAAAACTAACATCTTTTGTATGACCATTTGAGATCTGAAGGTTCACCAGGTTCAAACCTGCTCCAAACCTACCGAACCCGTTTAGTGGGTTTGGTCCAAGGTTCAGTCTGGTTCAGACCAGCTGTATGTAGGTTTGGTTCAAGGTTCAGGGCAAGAGGCCCCTGAACCGAGCTAAAGCGAACTTTGGAGATGCTAGCATGTCCACTGCGTTCAAGGTCAAATCAAGGCAAAAGGATGAGCAGGTGCATGAGGCTGCTGTGCGACGGCAGCTCACGATGATGTGAAGAAGGCAACACCCGCTGTCCACGTCGAACAACATTTCAAGAAAGGCACATGGGCGTCGAGGCCATCACATTTGGAATTCAACAAAGACAAACAACCACATGACCGTTAGACCCAGATTCCTAATATAGTAGTCACTTTGGCTACAATCCGTAAGATGGGCCATAATGCTCTGAGGTTAGCAAGTCCCCTTGTTTTTTGAGATCTCACCCTGTACAAGAGCCCTCAACGTCTAGGCCTGTAGTGTACAGCCGCTCTTTCATATAAACAAACCCTTGTGATCACTGATTGCAGATCCACCTTCATTTGTATGTGCAGACCCTGCATGCTCTTGTTATGCAGGTGTTCTCAGTGTTCGGAAGTCTCACTGCCAGTGCGTACTCGCACCATAGTTTACACTCGAGTCAATGCTTCGAGGGCCATGATGTCTTCTGCACGACTTCACACATTAGTGGTCTATTTGAATCTTGATGGACATTGATCATTACAAGGCATAATACATGTAATGTAGCGCAGTTTATACATTGTATGTACACATTAACACTGTTGTGCATCACCAACTCCGCCAGAGAACACCATCTTCAGTCATCTATGAAATATGCAGAATTATGGTGATGATAACTACGAGATGGTGGCGATCAATCAGACTGTGCCAGAGTCACCCACAGGATCGCACTGGGAGTTCAAGAGGTTACATCCACTGCTTCCTTATCCTTGTTAGCTCCTGGGGAAACTCAGCATCAGCATACACTATGGCAGTGTTGGAGCATGACAATCCATGTGTCATCCGCCGCGCTCCGGGACTGGTTGTGTGCCATACCCATTGATAGGCGCCAAGCCCCTCTGGGCCCCGATACAGCTCTTTTCGGCAATCGCATCCCGCCCGGCACTTCGGCTCAGTCACCCAACACTTTGATTTCACCTTCGATGTTCTTCGATTTCGCCTTCGACGTTCTTCGATGCTACGCACGTGACTCCCGACTCACAGTACCCTTCGACGCTCTTCGATGTCTTCGACTGTGCGCGACGCTTGCTCGAAGCTCGGCGCGGTCGTCCTGATGCCTCGCCCGTAGATCTCAGGACATCTCCCGCATTCAGCGGACAATAGGGCCACTCGACGCCGTTCGTCCAGTGCGTGCATCACTTCATGCCACACCGACGCGTCCGGTCTTTCCCGATTAGGTATTGAACCTTGTGGCGTGCCTTCGACGACGGATACCGGTCCGAAGTGTCTCGTATGTTTCTCTTCATCTCCGCGTTCGGCATGACGTCACTCTACCGATGGACTTGATACGCGCCACTCGGTGAGGCAGACTCGTGTAGGACAATGCAAAGCCCCTCGTACTAGTGTGCCACTCTCGATAGTCGTAGCATCCCTTTCGTAGTATAAAATCTGTCGTACTTCTCTCCAAAATGCAAGTTCCATTTCCCCCTCAAGTTCAGAGCTCATAAGTCGAGTTCGCCCTGCGTCTAAGCCTTCAACTGCGTCACTTCGTTCTTCGCTGCGTAACCTCGAAACCTCGTCCACTGCGTTTACTCGTCGATACCGTCTCGACGAACCCTTCGACTTCGACTATTGTCGAAGAAACTGCGAACCGCGTCCTAGCTAAGTCCCCCCCTATCGAGTCGTGTCCCTTCCTTCTACGATACATCGAAGAGCTCTGCCGAGCTTCGATCGTCTCCGCTAACCACCCACAGCCTCCGAGTAGCTTCGACGACGTGTCGAAGCCACCTCGTAGCTTCCCCATTGTTCGTAGCCTTTTCCGAAGGTGTTTCTCGTGTTCACTCGAACCGCGGGACACCTTGCTGCTAACTCCCCTCTCACTAAGACTATAATCCGTCTCTAGTCCCTTTAGGTCGCACCCAGGTTAGGGGTTAGGGTTTCGTAGGTCGCATCACCGTATGTTTCTTATTTTAGTTCTCGCTGTTCTGCCTTCCCGCACCGCGCCTTACTGCGTCAGCGCAGCACTCTTTCTGATTCGCCCCGACACTCACACCGTCAGTATTGTAGCCATCATTACCCGTTACGGTAGCACGTACATACCTTACTGTACCTAGCCCCTAATGGACAGTCACTATTTTACCTGAGTGCCTGCATCTTGACCCTCAGTCTTTGCTCTCCCGAGCATGCACTGAGGGTAAGTGCAATGTTGTCTGTCATGTCTGCATACCGTAGCTTACCATGTTATTAGACTGTACTATGCTACAGGTATGCTAATATACATTTAGTCTTTGCTCTCCCGAGCATGCACTGAGGACTGTACTACGCTACAGATCTATGCTTGTGCCCCCCCTGTTGTTGCTACATGACTAGTGCATTCTGTTAGCTTGTTAGACATCAATTCAATCTTCATTCACTGCAGTAGGAGGTAACACTTAAGTGGAATGAAGCGCGATCATTGCGCGCAGACCCAATCGTGACCCATCCACAGGTATATATGTTTGTAGACATCAACACTACATGTGTCAATTCTGGAATGTTCGCTCTGAGACACAGCTCTGTCTGCAACAACCGCTTTGCTATGTAGCTCTCCTACTCTAACTCGATTATATGATGTGACTCCTTTGTATATGTGTGGAAGCACAGGGCCAGATTGCCTGTTCGATACACAAACATGAGCTGTCAATGGTGAGTTGCTGATATACCCCCAAGGGCGTCTAGAGACCTTGTGCAAGCAGGATTTCCCTTATACAAGTACAAAGTGTCATTTATTTGTCACACATGTCAGGATGGACAAGGATTCTGATTACTGGATGCCTTCCTGCAGGATCTGTGCGGTTTACAGATGCAAACCAGACCTTGAAACAGACCCAATATGTTGGTCTGTGCCGTTTGGCAGAAGAAAGGTGCCCGGAGGTCAGCCGTTACCAGTCTATCACAAAACCTACAAACCCACCTTATAGCTTGATATTGAGGGGGGGAGATAATAGCACTTAAGTATGGGGAGGTAATGCTGTTAAGCGCAACAACAAAGTGAATAGAACTGGGGGACAGGGTGCCCTAGGATGCTGCCTTATATACATGAGGGAAAACCCCCCAGGGACCGGTAATGGACCCCTGGTACCTAGCTGGGTAAGGATTACTAAGTATCATGTGCCCTATGGTGCGATATGGCGTTATCGATGATGTCATAGTCTGGCCCTGCCCTGCCCTGGGTCTAGGGTCCAGAATTGACTGGCCTATGGCCTAGTGCCTGAGCCTAGCTCCTACCTATGATGTCAGAATGATGTCATGGTCCAGACAGAGTCTGGTTTCTATTTAGAAAAGGTCCGGCATCAGAGTCCAGCCTGATGTGTCCAGAACAAGATCATGTGTCGCTTATTTAAGCGGATAACCCCTTAGATATGCAGATGTACCCATATGCGGACAGATAAGTATGGATAAGTCCCTAGACCCTTCGATATGTCCGCAGAAATAGCAGAAAAAGTAGGTAAGATTAGGGAAACTGTGACACAGTCATTACCATCAGGTTGCCAACAAGTGACAAATGAGGGTGGGAATGGATGAGGTAAGCACGGAAACGGATAAGGTAAGCAAAATGATATTGTTTGAGCCAACGGGAAATAAGCAGAGCCCGAAAACAATGTTTGCAATGCTCAATTTGGTCTGGAGGGGGGTACCCCCCCTCCAGATGCAAACGTGACAATCCAGACTCTTTGGTGTCTAACTGCATGGCAACAGTCATTTTCGAGGTCAGTCAGATCAGCCGCTTTGCCATGAAGATTTTGTCACGAGTTGACATGGCGCCTAGCCATTTTTTAATTTTTTCCTTTTCGCGGGCTCGAACCCGTGACCTCTGTACTATACGCTCTGCGCTCAAATGGACAAGCCTCGCCAGCACATCACATTGCCATGTAGATAGATTAGATTAGATAGGACGGCAGTGCACGGCACAGCTCGGGCTCCGCTGACACAGCCATGATGACTCACTGGCCCCCGGGGCTGCGTCAGCATGCTGCGCACGGACCAGCTGCGCACGGACCAGTGCGCACAGCCTGCCCTTATCTTCCCCTGTATATAAGCCGGCCTCTGCTGCCCTAGGGACCTCAGTTTCGACCTCTTGTCCCTAGCCTTAGGTTTGAGCGTTGCTCACCATCACTTTGGTGAGACCCAGTCAAATGCCCCCAGCCTTCACGTTTGTTTGTCCTTGTCGCTTGACCCCAAGTCGCGACAGATTTAGAGGTCAATTCTATTCTGCAATTGTGTCCAGACCTCTGCGGGAAGGCATCCACTTATATGAAAGCGGCTCAACATATCATTAATCTTGTTTGTGGCAATCTCCATGCAGACCAAGGACACAAGCACCTCCCTCATGGTTCTCTGTGAGGCTGTGTTATCTCATGTGTCATCAGCAAAAAGGAACGTGCCATGGCTGCACTTGCATGCACTTGCATGGCCTTGTAAGGCCCGGCCGGATTACAAGAGACCAATATTGTCAGGCAGTCTTGCATTGCCATGATTACAAACCACTGGGGTGATGTAAGAGCCGGAATATATGGCTAGGCCCATGTGGCTATCAAGAGCATGCATGCAATAATATTATAGTGACTGTTGTATGGTTCACTGGGATCGTATTTCTTGTTAGACATTGCCAGACCAACAAACTATCATATGTCATGCAACCAAAAGACTAATCAATCCACTTGTATTGGTTCGCTTCCGTGACAGACCAGTCACCTGCAGATAATCCAATTGCGAATACTATTATGGTATATTATTTATCGGGCATAGTACATTACATAGCAGGAGAAACACATAGGTATGGAAGAATAGTGAGGCCACTGACTGCAGAGCTGCATCGATGACAATGGGATGATGTACCTTTATGTTAGTGAACTGCCTGGTGCACGACATGTTGAAAAGCGAAAGATTGGAGTCCTCTTGAATTGTAGATCAGATGACCAGGTTCAGCATAGAAGTCACCTCAGACTCATCTGAGCAGGGAGCTAACAGCAAGGAACGACAGGAACCATGTATTAGTTTATGTCGAAAGTACCAAAGAGGCTCTGCCACATACTGGTTACACTGGCTGATGGGTTTCTCATGCTATATAAAGTGACCTTGAGTGCCATGCAAGGGCTCGTGAATATGTGCCGGAAATCCTGTCAAATTGAGTATCATGAAAGCTGCGCACCAAGACAGGGACACTCACATGCACCAAGGCGCTTCAAAGCAGGCCTTTGAGGATGTCATCCAGATCATAGTTCTACTGGTTATAAAGAAACTCCACAGTATTGGTGCCCGTGTCTTCATTGCTTTCCTATGAGTTTAGTAAAGGAAATGATTAGTTGACATTAATATGCGATGAATTATCATGCACCAGATGGGGAATGAGCTGTGAGTGGATCAGCAACATTTTTATATGCTGCAGGAGGGCTGGAACACTAGATCTGAGGCGAGGACCAGCTGACTAACTGGTGTACTGATCGAGACCCACCTATTGTCATGACCTCACCTCAAAGCCACAATTTGTCTTTTCAGTCACAGTACACCCTCTAGATTCTTGATATCAAATATGTCTTCTTCTTGTGCTCAGAATGATTTAGACACGAGTACTGGCCTCAAATTCTGAAGCCGTGTGAGAGGAAACGAGTGGCACTTCCATCTTCATTAGACCCATCACATGGTATAGTGTTCTGGGCTCGAGACCTCACGACAGCTATGCGAGGCAGGCCGCAGCTTCATCAGATGTACACTGAGGTGCACAATTTGAAAGCAGCACTCGAAAATCCTTCAAATGCACTGATTACGGAGATGGTGTATCAGGGGGACTCCAATGACATGCAGGCTGAGGAATTGGACTATGCATACATTGATAATGAAACCGAAGACATCGACTAAGGGAGAGAGATTGGGACTGAGGATTCAGACAAAGATGGTCTTGTTGAAATGCACCAACCCGCATGGTCAGGAACGAGCTCGAAAGCTCGGGCGCGCGAGTAGCCGGGGGCCGGAGGCCCCTATCGTAGTATATAACGACCGCGCGTGATGTATGTACCGCACGTGATTGTCCCTTACAGGCATCGCTACGCCCGTGGACAAACACGCCCCGCACCGTTCGCACCGTTGTTCCAACAGGTCTGGGCCTGGAAGACAGGGGAGAGGACGGTGGTGATGATCTCTGTGAAGTCGAAGGATATGCAATATTATAGTTAAACTAGCAACTTCATGTGTTCATTTGAACTTCACCCTTAAAATCGTGGTTCCTAGGATGTGGTTAGCAGACTCATGGATGCCAATCAGCCGACTCACCATCGGGTTGTGATTGCTTCCATGGACACTGCTAGACTCGTCACTCCATGTAATACCCACTAAGCAGATCGATGTCATGTTGAAACGCACTAACCTGCGTGGTCAGGAACGAGCTCGCAAGCTCGGGCGCGCGAGTAGCCGGGGCCAGAGGCCCCTATCGCAATATATCACGACCCCGCGCGATGTATGTACTGCACACGATTGTCCCTTATGGGCATCGCTACGCCTGTGGACAGACGCGCCCCGCGCCGTTCGCACCCTTGTTCCAACATGTCAAACAATATGCCGCCATACTGTTGATGTCATGCATTGTCTTGCAAGCAGCAAATACGTTTGCATGGGTCACGAGACCTTATTTGCTTCGTACCTTTTTGCTGATGGTACAGCATGCGCAGGTCTTCCGAGACAATTCAAATGTTTGCCCTTGCCCGCCTTGAACCCCTCAATACTCTCTGCACTTGACATCATGTCAGATAGCGCTGCGCGGCCAAAGGCTGCACAGGCACTCAGTCCGTTATGGACGAAAGCGTTAGAACGACTCGAGAACAATACCGGCATGAATTTGCTTAACATCGCCGACAACGCCGAACCACGCGCCACAGAAGTGAAAAGGATCAATGACACGGAGAGTCTGATTTCCGTGCTGCAAGCACGTCGCAATTGCGACAAGAAATTCGCTAAGGCGCTTGACGGTCTCCTCACTTCGGTGAACAATATCTCGCAGGATATAGAGAAGCTCTTGGCTTACATACCTGACGGCAGCGGGAATGTGAGTGATTCTGGACTCTGTCCTTTCCCATAGCTGATGTCCTCCAGGAGGATCTACGGAAAGAGATGATATTCCGATCATTGGGACTGCTCTTCTTAGTAGGTGACATTCTGCCCACACATTTTATGTCTGAGAGACGTACGTAGGGCGTTACAGATGGCAACGGGCTAGAAGCGGTCTCCCGTCTATTTGCTCATGTTCCTCGAATCAACGAGGACATAGGTGCGAGCGTGCTATTAGGTACGAGCGCCGTCATCGAGCGCATCCTCGTGTCCTACATTGTCCTTGCTGGGAACGTGTACAAGACCATTGACACGAAGAGAAGAAGTACGAATCGTGCACAGAAAACACTCAACGGACTGATTCCAGGCAGCGAGGACGCCCTCGTCGACGACAATACAGTAAAGCAGATTATGTCCGAGATGCAATGGAACATCAACGCATTGCAGTGGGTTGGCGGTATGTACGGTCCACATATCACCATTGGTGGGTCCTCACATACGCAATAGACTCATTCGACGCCCAGTTCCAGCGGGGATGGGACAGAGTGCTTCGCAAATACGCCGGTCTCATCGGTACAGACACGAAATCATCGGGCGCTCCTGTGATGATTACATCAGCCCAGAAGCTGGCAGCGAAGCTGAGCTCGCAATGTCGCCAGCTGAACGTGAAACCGACAGACGAAACACGCATCAAGGAGTCTATACGAGCATTGGCGGAATCAGTGATTTCCATGGAGGTGAAGACAAAGGTGTACCAGGATGTGGTAAGCCATTGCACTCAGAATCGTCGCGAGGTCGCATAATGGCTCATACAAATTCCTCGTCAGGATTCGGTCATACTAGGATCGTTATTTTCTTTAACACAGGTAAGCGTACTGTGGTCCTCTAGATTCGTATTTTCACCATCGACCCAGGCCGCGCGGGGAAAGAGTTCTGGAATTACGCACATCGTGGACCTGATAGCTACCCTCACCGACATCCTCATACGCGTCCTAACAACAGCTACAGTGTCGTCATCAGTTGGCATCTTATTTGTCCGTGTCAAGGCACAGGTCATGACGATTTTCGGGGAAGCAATCAGGTTATTGAACAGGGCATACTCGGCACCGCGTTGGCCACTCAAGGGTAAATCCTCATCGCCGTCATTTCTGCATGATGAACAGCTGCAGGGGGCAGTCGGAGAGCTCTCATGGCTCGTCGAAGCGGCTGTTGATGGCCCATCCCATAGTATGTGTTTTCATGTACAATGCCATACTATCATGGAGCCCACCTATGATGCAGGCGAGGAATCAGCGTCGGAGTTCAGCCAACTATGGGAGAAGGCAAAGATGCGCTACCTGGCTGATAGCGGGCTCAATATATCCTTTTTATCGTCCGTTGAGCGCGGCGACTCGCTTGCGGCACTTGAAACAGCCTTACACAGCGGTCGATATAGCTTTCTGCAAGAGCACAAGAATGCACACGAGATCGAGAAGCTGTTGATACCGGTGATTAGATTCGTTAAGCCATTTGTGAAGCCGGCAGGGAAGCTTTTGGAGCCGGTATGTGAGCGTTTACCTAGTATGCAGTATGCGCTTACAGGGCGTGCAGCATCTTCCTGGAGCAACATTCGCTGCAGCGGCCATCGAGATATTACTAGACGTGCGTCATTGACTGATGGTCATATAGACGGTGGTTTACATTGCAGCTACTCCAGGCTGCGGACAGGTTTGGGGCTACGTATGAGCCAATCCTCACCCTGTTCAGCACCCTGTCAGACTATCTTAGTCGGATTCGGGTGCATGAAAGTAGCGGTATCGACCCGGTCATGATGAAGATCCACGTTGAGGTGCTGTGTGAACTGCTCAAGATCATGGGGATTGTTACCGGACACATCAACAAAGGATACCTAGGTGAGTGCGTTCTTCACGCCCGCCTGTTGTAGATAATCACTGATCAGTGGTTAGATCGTCTAGTTTCTGGAGGAGGAGATGTGCAATCTGCACTGAAGAGGCTGGAGGCGCTTGTAGATGCAGAAGGCAGGATGACCGGAGCGCTCGTCCTCTCGAGGACAAACGACATCAAGCATGGCGTGGACGCTATTCAGGAGAGCATAGGTAAGCCGTTTGCACCACGGCAAAGCATCACACACTCATGAGGCGACAGCATCTCTCCGAGTAACTAACATGGATGAACGACCCACGGCCGAAGTATTGTAAGTACTTGATAGGATCAGTACTATGCCTCCCGCTCTGACGGACAGCTCTACAAGGCGACCGAAGTTCCCTCCAAAGCCCTCGCTTTTCATCGGTCGGCAGGAGCAGAGGAAGGACGTGGCAGAAGCGGTCCTCAGCCGGAGACCGACCATCGTCCTGGGAGCAGGCGGAATAGGGAAGACGACCGTCGTCACGCAAGCGCTCTATGATGCTCAGATCATCTCGCAGTTCCCATACCGCTACTTCGTCTCCTGTGAGGACATAATCACATTGGATGGATTGCACCACGGTATCGCGGACGCGCTTGGCATTCCCGCAGAGCTACGCAACGAGCAGCTACCAACACGCGTTTTACACGAGTTGGGACAAAGGCCCTCCATCCTCTTCCTTGACAACTTCGAGACGCTGTTTGACGTCGCAGCTGTGCGGCGTGCGGTGGAGACGGAACTGGAGGCATACGCTTGCGTTGACAGGCTAGCACTGGTAGTCACCATGCGTGGAGCTGAGGCTCCTGCCACCGGCAGGATCCAGTGGGCAAAGGTCCTCCTTACTCCCCTGTCTCACGAAGAGGGCGTAGCTCTGTTCAGGAGCACGGCTCTGATCCCCGATGTCATTAATGACCCATTCGTTGACAGCCTCGTCGACGCCGTGGACAGCCTGCCTCTCGCCGTCACGCTCCTTGCTCACCAAGTCCAGCCAGAACTCGGAACGACGACGCGAGCTCTGTGGAGTCGATGGGAGAAGAAACATGTAGAGATGGTTACGCGCTCCGATGGTGCTCGAGACAGACTACTCGACCTGTCAACGTCAATTGATCTGTCGATCAACAGTCCTCGGATGCAGCACGAGCCCTCCGCTAAATCCGTTATGGCCTTACTTGCCCAGCTCCCGAGCGGTTTGCCGTTGGGTACCGACACCTCGGAGCAGATGCAGAGCGCCCTCGAAGATTCTGTTGACCTCTCTTTATCCCTCCAGACGCTCTGCCGAGTGGGACTAGCATATACCGATACGAATGGAACCCACCCACGCTACCGGATGCTTGCCCCAATCCGAGAGTATTGTCGAGGTCATCCTGGGCTACAGCCATCAGGATCGCTCTGGGAATCGCTCAGTACCTTCTATTCTATGTTTGTCACGATGAATCGCAACTACGGAGAGCCTGAATGTCTTGCCGTCGTCCCCCCGGAGATCCCTAATATCCGTCAGGTACTTGCTTCGCGAGATTGGAAGACGGAAGCAATCCCATCTGCAATTCGTGCTGCCGTCGACTACACTGATTGGCTAGACTTTCTTGGAGCTCCATCTGTCGAACTGCTCCAGCTCTGCATTGCTCATGTCCGTGACAACGAGCTACTTGGCGACTGCCACTACACCATGGCAACAGTATATCGCCACCTCAATCGCTATGATGATGTCGAGACAGCGCTGGATCTGGCGCTTAAGCACCATAGAGCTTCGAGCAGCCAGCAAGGTCAAGCTAACGATCTCCAGGACCTCGCATGGATGTACCAGTACAGAGGAGACCTCACACATGCAAGAGACAGCTTGAAGGAGGCACTGTCACTTCACTCTGCGATTGGGGACCGCTTGGGCGAGGCCAATGTTCTCCGGAGTCTTGGAGAACTGATTTATCGACAGGATGACTATGACAATGCAGAAGCATATCTAAATGATGCCCTGTCGCTTTATCATGCCATAAACGAACGCCTCGGGGGAGCAAACACACTTCAAAGCCTCGGAGATGTGTACTGTCGGAGGGATGACTTTGACAATGCGGAGCACACATACAAGAAGGCTGCATCGCTCCACCACTCACTTCAGGGCCGCCTCGGCGAGGCCACTGCTCACAGGAATCTCGCCATGATGTATATTCTGAGAGGGGATCTTGACGAGGCGGAGGCATCATCCCGCATTGCTCATGATCTTTTCCGTACCATTCACCACCAGCATGGTCAAGCGGATTGCCTGCAAGACCTCGGGGAGATTCACCTGCTCCGGGAGGACTTTACCGATGCCGAAATATCGCTCAAGAATGCCTTATTCTTGCACCAGGCTGTCCAGGACCGGATAGGTGAGACCAATGATCTCACATTCCTCGGCGAGATTTACATGAAGTTAAATCGCGATGCCGAGGCTGAGAAGGTGCTGTGCGATGCAGTCAAGCTGTGCCGCACCAATCATGATCCTCTCAGCGAAGGGAACACGCTTGAAACCCTTGGCAGTGTCTACACAAAAATGGAGCGCTTCGATGAGGCAGAGATGTCCCTCATTCGAGCTGTCGAGCTGCATCGAGGAATGGAAGGGACTGAGGAGAACATTCGGCGTGACGAGACGGCACTGGAGGAGCTTCGGCAAGCCCGAGAGGAATTTGCTCGAGAGGCCTCGACGTTGACTGAACATCAATGATTCCAGTCAGCTTCCACCGCTGCTTTGTATGTCTGACATTCGCATAGATTGGCTGTTTACGACGTGTCGCGTTTCCATGCAGAGCTCCACACGATGACAATATTCTACATAGATCACCACCGGGCCTGAATGTACATCATGTCACAAATTTCACTATTTATCTTTATGCGCGTCGTACACGGAGCCGACCCGTGTGGGGTCCTGCACGGATCGCCTAATATGGAGACCCTCTGGAACGTCAGTAGGTAAGCGAATTTTCTTTCTCGTAGCAGCGTCTCGATTAGTATTCATGGCGCGCGAGGACGCGATCTAAAAAGTGTCAGCCGCTTTACCGGACGGACGGGATGTGCACCTCATCCCATCGCAGATGGCGTGTGCATGTGCGCCGACGACGGGGCAACGGTTTCGAATTCTGATATATAATGTATGAGCTTCGGGGTGACAAGTGACTCGACTCTGTGGATATGACTATACCTTTACGTCTCAAACGTCAGGAGCTGGACACCTTGAGACTGAAGTCGTTGTTACATTGAGGAGCAGCTATCAGCACCCATCAGATAAAAATTAACTTCTTGTGGGATCGCAAGTATTGGTGCCGCTCATTGAGCCATACAGAACGTAAGGTTGATGTCAGGGTATGGTGAGCAGCCATACATTCGATTTGTCACACGTAGGGCCTTTGATGACCCTATAAGTATCATCAGCCTGGGCGTTTAGCGTATAGGTCAGTTATAATATGTCAGTTGTACTCCGAGCCTGCATCCTGGTCGCCATCATTGCGAGCATGACCGAGGCACGGAGGAGCATTGAAAGCAAAGGATGACGTACTGACCTGTAGATCCAACAAACTTGTTTAATGAGAGCCTACTACCGCAAAAGAGTTTCCAGACTGGCATTATGGAGGGGGGATGTCATCGAGGTCATCGTCGAAGCAGCGGAGGTGGCAACGGCCAATATTCGCAATCGTTGACGGAGGCAGACGAGGCAGGCGCGGGGAGCTATCTCGATCGCTCACGTAAGCAAGCGACAGGGACTGTAAATGTATGCTCCGTCTGTCGCCTCTCACGCTCCAGCACAATACATGCTTCTTTCACCCGTCATATGCACTTCTCGTGAACTCTGCCATAGGACGCTACCCGTGCGACCTGCGTAAATTACGTTTCTGAGGTGCATCCGGAGATGCATGGGCGCTTCAGCGTTCGTCCAGATTTTTGATCATCGTGGAGACGTGGAAATCTATGTGCTAACCTGACTGATCTGCTATGCGTCAGCTATAGTGGCCACAGTCTCACCACAAAGGCTGCTCTTTAAACGTCCTCATTACCAGCGCGTGAGAATGTCTCCGATTGCCTTTTCTGTATGCATCAGACCACATGCGCGCTCATTCGAAACAAGTTCTCCGGTGGCAGTGATCTTTCGAAGCGTCATGCACACAGCGTTGAGGACTGCCGTAGGTGGGCGACCTCGTTGGTCCCCTCTCCCTCTGCTCTCTGTCTCCCCTCTGACATCTCATCCTTCGCTCGCGCCCATTCTCCGCGTCAGACGCTGCAATGCAAGTGCACACGGCGCAAGGGCTCCCACCTATTTGGAGTAAGGCACTGAAACGATTTAAGGACAGCACCAATATAGACCTAGAAGCCATCGATGACGAAGGCGAGTCTTCAATACCGGGGTTGATAGCGGTAAAAGATGCCAAGAGCCTGTCGACTACTGTCCACGCAAAGTTCTCGAGCAACAAGATACTGAAACATGGACCTGATCGCATCCTCGAATCTTGCAAGCGTGCGTTTGGAGACGTCGACTGCCTTCTGAGTCACGTAACGGATGCTAAGCAGGTAGGAACTGATAGCGTTGGCGCTGGGAATGACGTATTCACTTTTGTATCAGGGAAATGTGCGACGAATAATCATTTTTCGATCGTTTGCCGCGCTCTTCCTCGTCAGCCCATCTCTCACTCAGTCTTGCAGTCAGCATCCACTAATGGTCTTGCCAGAATGCCAATGTCAACGGCAGTGTCAACGCAGTCGTCCACCTATGGGATCAGGTGCCACTCATGGACAGTAGCCTTGCAAACAACGTACCAGCAAGCGATAGAGCTCCCTTTGAGAACGTTCTCATATCCTACGTCACACTAGCGGGGACCGTATACAATGTGATCAAGAAGAAACGTGCGTGGGCCGTTTCCTCAGCGAGGTATTTCCTTCCACTGACCCACCATAGACCATGGCGACACGCTTTCGAGTGATCGCGATGTGAAGCAGGTCCTCTCTGAGCTCCACTGGGGAATGAATACGTTGCAATGGGTCGGGGGTGCGTCGGGTTCAGCATATTAGAGTCCTCATATACTCACACGATGTTAATAGAGCTCTTCCATGACCAGATCAAGCGTGGATGGGAGCATACTCTTGCTGAATACGCAAGTCTTGTAGGCTTGGACGTGCAGTCGCCAAACTTCCCGAGGAAGGTCACCTCGGCCGTGGAGCTACAGGCACAACTCCAAGCACTGGGCTTCAAGGAGAGCGCCGCGGCGGTACAACTTCGAGCGAATGCCCGAGAACTTGCGGAACTCATCATGTCACGAAGGATACATGGGCTTGAGGGCGGCGATATTGTGGGCCCCCATATCCACTTCACGAGACGGGGCTACGCTCATGGTTGATTTCTCCAGGATACGGTCGTGCTTGGGGCGTTCCTGACACTTATCGAGGTAATTTATAGCATGATATGTTCCTGCCACCAACTCTGACTCCTACTCAGGCATCTCGTGGAAAGACCACTGCAGTCGCGCTCATAGCAGACTTGACGGCGGGGCTAACAACAATACTCATGCGCCTTCCACCCATCGCACAGGAGGCGGAATCGTCAGCAGCCGTTATACTTGCCCAGATCAAGGCCTCAACACTAAGGATTACCGGGGAGGGAGCAAAGACCCTACGTTCAGTGTCGGTTCCCTGGATGTCTTCATCGTTGTTTGCTCGCAATGACAAACTGCAATCCACAATCCATGAATTAGCATGGCTTGTTGAGAATGCTTCGATGACATACGCAGCTCAGGGCGAGTACTGCGCGCCATAGCCATATGCGCCGCCCATTGACGATCCTCACTAAATTGACAGATACTGCCTCAACGTCGCGTTTCGCAGATATATGGGAGAAGGCGATAAGGCGTTACACCGCCAGCACCGGTGTCGACATATCTGCATGGGCAGCCGTTCAGCACATTGACGCGCTGACATCAATTGAAACCGCTCTGGAAAACGGACGGTATACGTTCCAGCAGGAACACAAGAAGGCGGAAGAGGCTGCGAAGGTGGTAGGGCCGGTAGTGAAGTTCATAAAAACATTTGTTGATCCGGCGGCAGATCTTGCGGAACCCGTACGTTGTTGCTTGGAGCATCATGAGAAAGTCAGGAACACTCACTACTATGATTTTACAGCACCTCCCGGGGGTTAAGCTGGCTGCAGTTGCGCTGGAGAAGCTGCTCGATGTACGCGATAGTCCAACAAGGCCGAATCTTCTATTTTTGACGTGATGATTTACCGTAGGCGGCAGACAAGCTTGGCTCAAGCTATGAGCCTATCCTGAGTCTGTTCGATGCGTTATCTGACTTCCTGGATCGCATGCGTGTCCACCTGACGTCAAGATCCGACATTGAGATCATGGAGATCCATGAAGAAGTCCTTGCTGAGATGCTGGTGATATTTGGTGTAATCACCGGGCGCATGAACAAAGGCTTCCTCGGTGCGTGTCTCATATCCACCGCATGGACCTGTTGTTGAGTGCGTATATTCTAGGGCGACTTACTACTGGAGATGACGACATTAAGGCTGCGACCACCAGACTGCAGGCTCTGTTGGACAAGGAGGACCGGATGACTGGTGCACTCGTGTTATCCAAGCTGAATGATGTGAAGCATGCAGTGGAGGAGGGATTTGGTGAGCTAGCTTGAGCGGTCCTTGCGATCAACGCTTATTTGATTGCGGCAGCCTCTCTGTCAGGGAACATTGCAAGACCGCAGGGCGCAGAGAGGACACAGTCAGTCACTTAAACAGATGCCGTATACTCAAATGTTCTGATATGTTTGCACAGAGAAGCAATCTTCCCACCGCGGCCAGTGCTATTCTTTGGTCGAAAGGAGGAGCGAGAGTATCTCGTAGATGCAATCCTGCAGCTGAAATCAATAATCGCCCTCGGAACAGGCGGCATTGGCAAAACGACGGTCATAACAGACATGCTGTACGACGATCAGGTCATGTCCCAATTCACACGCCGCTACTTTGTGTCCTGCGAGGATGTTACCACTCTCGATGGGCTGCGTACTTGTGTAGCTAACGTCTTAAGCATGCCTGCAGAGGTGCGGAATGAGCAGCTACACACTCGAATCTTGTCAGAGTTAGGCCGTCAGCCATCTGTCCTCTTTCTCGACAACTTCGAGACGCTTTTCGACGTCGCAGGTGTGCGGCGTGCAGTGGAGACGGAGCTCGAGGCATACACTGGCGTTGACGGGCTAGCTCTGGTAGTCACTATGCGTGGAGCTGAGGCCCCTGCTATTGGCAGGATTCAGTGGGCGAAACTCGTCCTTACTCCCCTGTCTCACGAAGAGGGCGTAACTTTGTTCAAGAAGACGGCTAGGATTGCCGATGATACCAATGACCCATTCATTGACAAACTCGTCGACGCCGTGGACAGCTTGCCTCTTGCTGTCACACTCCTTGCTCACCAGGTCCAGCCAGAACTTGGAACGACGACGCGATCCCTATGGGGTCGATGGGAGAAGAGACGTATAGACATGGTCACGCGCTCAGATGGCGCTCGAGACAGACTGCTCGATCTATCGACCTCCATTGAGCTGTCAATATACAGTCCTCGCATGCAGCACGAGCCCTCCGCCAAATCTGTTATGGCCTTACTTTCCCAGCTCCCGGGCGGTCTACCATTTGGAACCAATACATCGGAGCAGATGCAGAGCGCCCTCGAAGACTCTGTCGATCTCTCCCTGTCTCTGCAGACCCTCTGCCGCGTGGGACTGGCCTACGCCGACACGAATGGAGCCCATCCGCGCTACCGTATGCTTGCACCGATCCGAGAGTACTGTCGAGGTCATTCTGAGCTACAGCTGTCGAGGTCGCTATGGGAATCGCTCACCGACTTCTATATACAATTTGTCGAGGAGAATGGAGATTACGTCAATGCTGCGTGTCTCGCCGTTGTCCCTCCGGAGCTCCCAAATATCCGCCAGGTGCTTGCTTCGCGAAACTGGGAGACTGGGGCAACGTCATCCGCAATCCGTGCTTCCATTGACTACACCAGCTGGACAGAGTTTCTTGGAGCCCCGTCCATTGACATTCTCCAACTCTGCATTGCTTATGTTCATGACAACGAACTGCTGGGCGACTGCCACTACACCATGGCAAATGTATACTCCAGCCTCGATCGGAATGATGATGCCGAGACGGCCCTGAATCAGGCGCTTGAGTATCACAAAGCTTCTGGCAGCCAGAAAGGCGAAGCGAACGACCTCCAGAACCTCGCGTGGATATACCAATACAGAGGTGACCTCAGGCGTGCAATGGACCACTTAGAGGAGGCGCTGTCACTTCACCGTGCAATCGAGGACCGCAAGGGCGAGGCCAGGGCTCTCGGGAGCCTCGGAGATCTGTTCTATCGAGAGGATGACCTCGAGGAAGCAGAAAAATCACTAATTGATGCCCTTTCGCTTTATCGTGCCATAAACCACTGCCTCGGGGAGGCAAATGTGCTTCAAAGCCTCGGAGATGTGTACTGTCGGAAGAATTATTTTTACAAGGCGGAGCGCACATACAAGAAGGCTGCATCACTCCACCACTCACTCCAGGATCGCACCGGCGAGGCCACCGATCATCAGAGTCTTGCCATAATGTATTTTCAGAAAGGGAATCTTGACAAGGCAGAGGCATCATCCTGTACAGCTCTGGATCTCTTCGCTACCATCCACAATCGATTTGGCCAAGCGAACAGCTTGCAAGGCCTCGGAAAGGTGTACCTGTATCGGGAGGATCTGTCCAAGGCTGAAGAATCATTGAAGAATGCCCTGTCTCTGCACCAGGCTGTCCAGGCCCGGACAGGGTTAGCTGTTGATCTCGCATTGCTTGGCGAGATCTACATGAAGTCTGATCGCAATGCCGAGGCCGAGAAGGTGCTGCATGATGCAGTCGACCTGTACCGCACGATTCATATGCCTCTCGGTGAGGGGAATGCACTCCAAATCCTCGGCAAGGTGTATACGAAGATGGCGCGCTTCGACGAGGCGGAGGCGATTCTCACTCGAGCCCTCGAGCTGCACCAGGCAATTGAGTGGGCAAAGGGAAGTATCGGGAATGATGAGTGGGCTTTGGAGGAGCTTCTCCAAGCTCGAGAGGCGTCAGCTCGCGATCGAGAAGTCTCGACACCGACTGGGCATCCGTTACTATAATTCTTCCTGGCTTTTTTATCTGATGTTCGCAAGAAACAATTGTTTACGATGTGACGAGACCCTTCGTGGAGCTCCATATTATGATGAGATCGTAGATATATTACCACTACTGGACTCCGATGTACATCATGGCACGACTTTCACTATCTCTCTCTCGTCAGCTTCTCGTACACCATCCACTGTATCCATGGAGCCGATCCGTGTGGGATCTTGCGATGTAGCCACACAGCTCGCCTGATATGGTGAGATGTCAGGAGACCACTCTGGAATGTCAGTAGGTAAGCGAGATGTTTTCTCGTAGAAACATCTCGACCAGCATTCAGGACGCGATCTAAACAATGTCAGCCGCTGGATCGGATGAACGGAATGTGCACCGCATCTCGTCGCAGATGGCGTGGGCATGTGCGCAGACGATGGGGCAGCGAAGTTCAAATTCTGATATACAATGTATAAACTTGGCGGTGAGAATCCAATCGGTGGATATGACTGTACGTACCTTCACATTCACATCCCACACGTCTGAAGCCGTACACCTGGAGGATATAGTCGTTGTTCCGACAGGGTGGAATCGCGGGAATCGCGATCCTGACGCCCGAACCTCAGGCCTGCGTACGCAGGAAGCTATCTCGATCGCTCACGCTGACGTGAGCAAGCGTCTTCAAGTTCTATCCTGGGCGCCTCGCCTGACTCTCCCAGAACATCGCTTGCGCTGTACGATTCCACTTTTGAAGGTATGAGCTCCAGGAGTCGCGCTGTAAGACACGACGTAAAGAGAGACTCAGCGCTCGAGCAAATAATGCGAGTGCTAAGTATTCCGAACCTGTAAGACACGACGTAAAGAGAGACTACCGTACTTCAGTATGGATATGTAAAGTAAAAGTGAATATGAAACTCACCTCAGCGCTCGAGCAAATAATGCGAGTGCTGAGGTGCAAACGGCGCAGAGGTCGCGTCTATGCCAACGGCGGCTTACGTAAGGTAACGATCGATGGCGGTAAGTAAATACTAGTGTCCGAAATGTCCTACTGATATAGTCCGTACTCTATGTACGACTTTCAACATCCACCACTTGTGCCATTCGTGACCTGGTGCTTCACAACGAGCAGCCTCTATCCCGGTCGGCGTAGCAGGTATCCTGTCATACAATCCCCCTTGTCCCTGACACCTTCCTGGCGAGCGGCAATCCGCGCTTGAGCTGCTTGTTGCTATCATCGGTCGCGCGCTCCTGCATCTCAGACACCTGAAACGACCTTTGCCTCTCCTACTCACTTGCGCCTTCACACTAGGCATAGCAAGCTGCGATGTACCGGTCTGCGGGTGGATCCGCTGCCGAGGACGACAATTAAGGCTGGGTGATCCAAGTCCTGTCGAACACCAGCTCTGTACCTCTGCGTCTCCGCCTCACTCTGGCTGGCATTTATTCGTCCTCGAGTATATGATCACCCAGGTGCCTTCTGTCTGGCTGGAAATATTTTCTCTGGACAGTCAGTACTAACGGCTTGGCATAAAGTCGCAGCCGGACATTATTGTAGGATGTTCCACATAGTTATGCTTGGTGCGTAATCAAATCTTTGTATTGGCCGTTGTGATTATTCATGGAAAACTCAACTTATCTGTTGGAACAATGGTGCGATGGTGCGGGGTGCATTTGTCCACGGGCATAGCAATGCCCGTAAGGGACAATCGTGTTGTCATGCTTGGAATCCTGTGGTTGTTGGGGGTAAGGCTTGCTGGATATTCAATTGATCTTGATATATATGATTAGTATGGAGACCTTCACTTTTAACCAAAACCCAATTAATAAAGGCTTGCTTTTGATATACAATAGACCTGTGGCACGAAATCAATGCAGGTAGTGCAAGATTGTTTTATGTGCAAGAGGATAGAAATTAGTTGTTTGATAACCAAGGTACCTTATTCCCTGTTGGAACAACAGTGTGAACGGCACAGGGTGTGTTTGTCCACGGGCGTAGCGATGCCCGTAAGGGACAATCACATGCGGTACATACATTGTGTGTGGTTGTTATATACTATGATAGGGGGCCTCCGGCCCCCAGCTACTTGCACGCCCGAGCTTGCGAGCTCGTTCCTGACCACGCAGGTCAGCGCGTTTCAACATTCCCAATAGGAATCGATTATACTGGGCATAGCGGGTCTCTCAATCCACTGGCCAGAGGCTCAGTTGAGTTTGGTTGAAGGTTGTCTTGTTGTACTGTAAGTTATGCTGATGCAACGTGTATTTGTCTCCTTGAGATCAATACAAGACTACTGTCTTATACTTCAATCGTATATTCTGATCTTGACTGCTGCCTGTGTTGAAGCCTCTGCTGCTTCAATCAAATCCTAGACTTCCTGCTTGAAGCCTTACTGCATGTGTAGTGAGCTTCACTGAACTCTGCTATCCTGTTCTGTGTATTGAAGCCTCTGTTGCTTCAATCAAATTCTAGACTTTCTGCTTAAAGTCTTTTATCAGTATGTCACGAGTTCCGTTGAACTCCATTATTCTGTCTCTGTAACTGGCTGCTTTCCAGCTAACTATACTTGTCACTCTAGGCCATAATGCCTAACTATATCCTTAGCACACAGTAGTGCTTTGTTAACTCTGTCACTGCAATGCCTCACTTTGAAATCTCCTCTAGAGATTGAGCTAGCACTAGGGGATCTCACTGTCCCTTATTTCTCAGATCTGATTATCATTACCAGTCTCTTACTGGGTTAACGTGAATGCTATGTTCTAGCACTACTACTGATGTTCACGTTGTATTCTTTATGCTCACAGGCAATACTGTACCTGTAGCCAAGTCTGATATCAGAACTTCCTTGAGCGGTCGATCAGATGGAGCAGGTATATTTATACAAGCACAGATTCACTCAGACTTTAGATGTAGACTGTATCTTTGTATAACACTAACACTTGAGAGGGAGTTGGTCCAACTAGTGTGGTGGGCTGTTCTCTGGGGGGGGGGTCCAAAGAAACAACTTTTGACTGGTGTTGATCTCTGGGGGGGTTCAAAGAAACAACTTTGACTGGTGGAGTGCCCCAACTGTCCTTCTATTTATATGTACATGAAGGTATTCTAGAATGTTCCATACTATTCTACCCTCTCTTACAAATCCTTTCTTCAGAATCTTCCGGAACCTGCCATCTGATTCTATCTCATTCTGGGTGATACCTGTGGGTTCTTTTGCCAGATCTTGTATATTCCGGCTTGTTCTGTGTATTTCTGGGCTATTCCAACTTGATTCTGCATTCTTCTGGCTGTTTCCAGGAATGTTCTGGATTATTCTTTGAGTTTCCAGCAAACTCTGGTTTATTCTGTATTATTCTGCAAGGTTCTTTTGAAGCTTCCAGTTTATTCCTGCATTTTCCAGTCTTATCTCGCACATTCTGGCATTTGCTCTGTTTGCTAGCTACAGCTTCATATAATTTGAGTCCCTTCCTCCTTTGCTGGATTATGACTTTTAAGCCAAATATGATGCAAATTTGCTTGTTTCATGTAGCAATCAATTTTGATGCATGACAGTGTGCTGAAACATTTATCTCTTCGTTCTATTTCTTTTACTACTAGCGCCCATACTGGCGCCTGTCTTAGCGCTCACCCGCAGGTTGAACATTATGTAGCTTACATAATGGGGTCCGTGCGCACTTCGTACCTGGTATTGTACCACTATGTTTCCTTCTTTACTAATATGACCACACAGATACAGTGGTCCGTGTGTAGCCGGTACTTGTATAAATAGTTGTACCATTAGTCGGTCGAACCCTAAGTTCGACCTGGTTATTCATTCAAGTCTCTGCTCCTCCTCGCTTAGGGTAGTGGTCATTCTCGACTTCCTTGCTCGATCTTCAGGATGACGCACTGTCCATAAGTCCTCGCTCGTCATCTACGAGTCAGGCATCACTATAGGAGTATAGACCGTTGTATCAAAAGGTCGAACTTTCTAAGCTATGTTCCTAGTTTTACCTAGTTGAACATCTCATCCACCATTACGTCGAACAACGCAGTCAACCCGGTTCCTTTGGGACTACCAGCCTTTGCAGGATCACCGCTCCTCCAGTACGACCGAGCAGATCGCTGCTTCGTCACCTCCACAAAAAGGGCTCCCATCTACCCTCGAGGCGGCGCCTGGTGTCGTGCAGCCGGTCCAAACCCGCAGATCGTCGCCCATCAAGAACTCGTTAGCTACTACCAGAGACACCCACCCGCTCACCCAGAAGACATATTCACCATCCTACGGATCAACGTCGAACCTATACAAACAGCAGAAAGCATGCAGTCACCCATCAATGAACAACCACTCGAACTCCCTGAAGTTCAGTATGTCCCCATCGAGATCCCAGACACCGAACTACCACCAGCTCCACCCGCACCAACCAACACACTGGTTGAAGTCCCTATGGCAACATTCACTCAAGAAGACATCGATCAGCGCATCGCTGTCGCCCTCGCAGCATACCAATCCCAGCAGTCAACTGTCGCGACTTGAGGTCAAGCGACTTGTGGAAAACCTAAAAGCTGGGGGCGTCTGACTGATTCTTACCGAAGCGATGGTGAGCGATGCTCAAACCTAAGGCTAGGGACAAGATAATATATTAGTGAGGTAAGAAAAGGAATACAAAGGATGCTTACTGACCTAGGGACAAGAGGTCGAAACTGAGGTCCCTAGGGCAGCAGAGGCCGGCTTATATACAGGGGAAGTTTAGGGGAGGCTGTGCGCACTGGTCCGTGCACAGCTGGTCCGTGCGCAGCATGCTGACGCGGCCCCGGGGGCCGGTGAGTCAGAGAGGCTGTGTCAGCGGAGCCCGAGCTTGTGCCGCGCACTGCCGCCCCATCTAATCTAATCGTACAGTAGATAGCGATGCATCCATATCAGGCATGTAGTACAGAGGTCGCGGGTTCGAGCCCGCGAAAAGGAAAAAATTAAAAAACGGCTAGACGCCGTACCAACTTGTGACATCAACGGCCAACTGACCGCTTCGCCTCGACATCCCCACTCCCGAACCCTTCAGCGGAAAGGCAGAGGACCTCAGACGCTTCATCCAATGTGTCCTCTCCTACTTCGTTGCCACCAACAACACCCGACTCAGCGATGAAGCAAAGATCGCCTTCACTGTAGCGCTGATGAGGAAGGATCTGGGGAAAACATGGGCGGACGCGTATTACGAAAAGTCGGCAGGGGGAGTCCAGGTCTATTCCACATGGGCAAACTTCGTCGCCGCCCTAGAAGAGGCGTTCCCTGAGCACAGAACGCGAATCAAGGCACATCAAATCCTGATGAAACTGCCTGAACGACAGAAGGATAGGAAGACGGCGCTCTCCCTCGGTAACTACGTCACCCGCTTCAAGCAGCTGGCATTGAAGGCTCAGCTCAAGGACACCGAGGTTAATGGCACCAACTGCGTTGAGAACGACTACCACACTCTCCACGCCAACTTCGTCAAGGGACTCCCGAAGGAGC